AAAAAAAAAAAAAAAAAAAAAGGACGTGAGGCTTATGCATGTATACCACCTCTCTGCCCAGATGAAATGTGACTTTTTTGAATTGTGCTTTGCTGTTATCTTGACTTTCTTTTAAGAATTGGAAAAAAATGCTTCCTTCCATAGATAAGAACTTTATTTTTGCCTTAGAGATGGCCTTAGCAACCAATCACGAATAGCCAAGGAAGAACAGTTGTTGGTAGCACCAATCACATGTCTTGCAAAACAACCTGTGTGATTTATCTCTTTTTGTCTTTATAAACTCTTGCCTTGTTTGCCTTCTCCAGAGCTCATTTTGGGTTTCTGCCTAAATCTATGTCTCCCTGGATTGCAATTCTAATTGACCAAACAAATATCTGTTGTTTAAATTGTAGTGATTTTTCATGGGTCAACAGAGGCAAAGGTAGAAAACTGAGCTGACTCTTTGCCGGCACTTCAAACAGATTTCAATACTGTGAAATCATCTGGGGAGTTGTTATCTCTCAAACTTCAGGTGGTTAAAGACGATTATAAGACATGTTCTGTTGCTTAAAGATTTGCTGACATCAAATGCCTTTTTTTCTCCAAATGAATGCAGGAGTGACATTTCTGAGTTAATAAAGGATCTGAGAAAGATGTGGCCTTGAGCAGCATTTTTATTACCATTACTTTTCCACAATCTAACTCTTCTGCCACAACCCTCCCGCCCACACAAACCCTACCCCCTTCCTCAGCATTATTAATCTAACCTGAATCACTCTATTCTTCTCCAAGAGAACACACCCCAGTAATAGCAGTGAGTCATAGACACTCTTGCTTTTCTCTAGTCTCTAAAGGACTTGACGAAATGCCAGATCTGATAGAATAAACAATAGGAATTTCAGGTGAAAGGAGCTCTTTAGGTTCTTGTTCAGTATATTACCCTCAATATTAGTTACCAGGTAAATTTTCTAGTTGCCTAGTGGTGGACAGGTTTTTTATCACACTAATACTATTGACCCTCTCTATATCTCCATGTTCTAAGTAGTCATCCTATTCAGTGAGGCAAACTCTCAGCTGTGTCTTTTAGCTAAATCAAGGGCTCTTTCATCTTGAGGTTGAAAATAAAATCCTTTCTTGCTTAAGTTGGCTAAAAAATATGAAACAGTTTACCCACAAAGGTCACCCTTTGATAACAAAGTCTTCAACAGTCTCTACAAGTGAATCAATGACACATTATAGAATCCCATATGAGACCTTTAGGTAATAAAGAAAAGACATAGAAATAGTTTGTCAATTACTCAAGAGGAAATTTATGAGATGACAGAGCACTAAAACACATCTTCTTTACCATGGATAGGTCTATAAGATGAGACTTGAATTTATGGCAAGAGAAACCTAGAGGAGAGTTTTTGAAGGTGATTTTCAACTTATATACAAATGTCATGAGAAATATTGAAAGCTACTTAAGAGAATTTAGTAGACTTTCTTGTGAGTGTTATAAATCTGTATTAAATTTAGTTTGTTTAACTTGTCCTAATGGATATTATAAATTAACTTAATCATGTGGATTTTATGCAATCCCTCACCCAAGTGGATTTTGATCCTGGTTTTTTACAAGTGTATGTCTATATTTTTAATTGTTTAAAAAAATACCTATGGATACTAGCTATGTCGACATGATATAAAAATTTTTGTCAATACAGAAAAGTCAATGGTATGGAATTTAGGTCATCCTGAGATTACTGTTAAGATTTAAAAAATAATGCTAAAGCCAAGAATTTTAAAAATAGATAAATCTACTGAATGAAATTTTAAATTGTGGCTTAAAAGTATGTGTGTGTGTGGGTGTGTTTGTATGGAGAGAAAGAGAGAGACACTATTCACTATTCTCTTCTTGCTGTTAAAAAAGAATAAAACACCTCATAAAGATTTTTAGGTCTACGTCATCATCCCACCAACAATAATCACAGACAAGAACGGAAGAAGCATTTTACCACCCCTGATGAATAACAAAGTGGCTAACAGTAGCCTTGGGTATTGAAGAAATTTAAAAACACAAAGAGAAAGCCTGCCTTAGGTTGATATTAATTACTATTATCATTGAATTCTATTGCCCAAATTGTCCTCTATGGGAGTAAGGAGTCCTTGCCTGCTGGCTCTCTGGGGCAGTATTTTTCCTTGCCAAGTTTCATATGAAACATACAATGTCCTGTGTCAGAAACACCAAATTCCTTATAGGCCAATAGATTTCAGGCTCCTAAAGACATGGAAATGTTTTATCTAAAGGTATAATTAAAAACTATAGGGGCTATATTCCAGATCCCTCATACTAAATTGAGAGAGGAAGGTATGTTTCCATTTTGTTATGTGACAGGAGTAAGTAAAATACAAACTTATATATGGGAAGATTATTCAATTCTAACAACACGTGGAAGTCAGAGATGTAGGTCAACAAATGTGCATTTCTGAAATACAGGTTTTCCTGAGTACTTATTCCGAGGTTCTTTGAAAATCTGGCCAAAACAATCCTGTTTAATATACCAGTTCACATAATAAGCAAGTCAGAACATTTGCAAGGCAAGATGTTGTTTTCCTTTATGCAGCCAGCAAAAACACAGCTCTAAGCTTAGGTCGTAATGGTAAAAGGATTTTGGAGCAGCTGACTCTAGGGAATCATAAAAACAACCCAACCTTATGCCCCAAGGCATAAGAATATGCAGTCTGCATTGTGCTTCTAGTGTCAGGACAAATCATTCTGCTTTTTTCAGTGAGTAACTGATGCCAATGGATGAGTAAAGGGAGAAATAAATGTAAATGTACAGACTCAGGCCTGTGGTGAGGTGAGTAACACCTATATCACAAAATCATGAGTTCTCTTTCATTTTGTAAATTCCTTGAGATTAATTTATATAATTTTTGAAAAATTTAGAAGGAATGGGATACATATTATTAATTTTGTAGAGGCTCCAAGTTTTCTGTTATTTATGGCTTAAATTGTGAGGGATCTTATAGACCGTAGAATCTTTAAAAAAATATGTGACCTTTTTTTGGGAGATAATTAAAGGGATGAAAGAATTATGGGATGCATTCCTTTAAATCAATAAAGGAATGGCGAATATAGTTGCCTATATAAAATAACGATTGAGTGCTTCCTACATACCTACCGCTGTTCTCACGTGCTGTCATGAATTCTCATTTAATCCTCCAATCCCTTGGAGGTTGATACTATTATCCCCATTTTACAGATGAGGAAACCGAGGCACAGAGACACTATTACAAAGCACATAAAGTACTGGTGCCAGAATTTGAACCCAGGCAGTTTGACTCCACCATTTATGCCCTTAATCACTGCATTAGGCTGTCTTCAGGTTCTGTAGTTATACCCGACTGCTTAGGGCTCAGTTAATTCCTCCCGGGTCCTGGCTACTTCTAAGCCATTATTACCAGATGTTAGTACAGAGACAGTGTCCTTGTTTAAAATGGCCATTCCCCAGGATTGAAAACACTGGCCCCTTAAAAATTCCCATCTTCCACGTGACTCAGAAATTACTCAGCTGTCTCTCCCTAAACCCGGTGCTCCACCCAATTTAGTTAACTTTGTTGTTGCCCAGCAACTGAACAGCGCCACACAGGAAATGAACAGGATTATATTAGACTAAGGATGTGGCTGTCTAGTATCCAGCAGGGTCCATATCTGCCTCAAACATCTGAATTCTGGACCAACTTATTCTCAATTAGCGATGATTCTGCTTCCTGTATTGCACCACGACCAATTTTATTGGGCTACATTTTCTCTCAGTTTTGACCAAAAGATTTGAAATCAAGCTAAGGAATCCACATTTTGAGGTAGATAACACTAGAAAACCTGTGACAGAAGCGCTAAGTGTGTGGCAGCAAGGGCTAGAAATTAGCTCAACTGCATCCGCGCGGACTCGAGGAGAGATTTGTAACGTGTTTGAGTCTCAATGGCTGCTCTTTTCTGGCCTCTGCCTCTGGAGAGTTACAAGCTGTCAACTTCACACACAGCCGGCCCTGCGGCTTTTGGTCCCGTGGAGACTGACGAAGCGCCTTTGCTGTGATGAGCGGGAGACCAGACTAAGGAGAGCCAGGAGAAGGGGAGGCGCGTTCTCAGGCGTTCTTCACAAACACACAAAAATAAGGAAGCAGGAAAAGAAGACGATGCACGGAAAGAGGAGGGAGGGGGGGCGCGAAGAGAAGCGCGCCCCCAGCAGGATCGGTTAGTCCTTCTGAAGCTCAGCCCAACCCATTCCCAACGCCTGCTGGGGATCGCGGTCACGCGCGCGTAGTCTCGCCGCTCTCGGGCGCTGGGCGGAGCCGAGCGGCGCGCGTCAGTCAACTCGGCCAATCACGAGTCTCTGCCGCCTCTCACGTGGCTCCTCCCGCCCCGCCCCCTTGCGGAGGCTCGCGGCCGCGCGCGCGCCGTCCCGCCGTGCTCGGCGCCGGGCAAAGCCGAGCTGCGCGCGTCAGTCAATCTGGCCAATCGCGCGTCTTTTCCGCCTCTTGCGCGGCGCCGCCCCTGGGACGGGACCGGCTCACGGCCGCGGCTGCGCGCTTTTCCCGCGCTCTGGGGATGGCGGAGGGAGGTAGCGTGTGGGGCGGCGAGTGGATGTCTGAGACCTGGGCCTCTTGGGGGGTGGGCTGTGGAGTCTAGGAGAGCCCTTGTCGCGGTCAGGGGACCTCTGAACCCCACCTCAGGCCTGGGGTCTCGAGGGCTAGTGTGGGTTTTCTGCAGTGGTGGGAGGGACGGGAGGACTCCTCCTTCTGTTTTTCTCCCGGGAAAGTTGATGCCTTTGTTTGAGGAGACACACACCAGTCGACTCTCTTTCGGAGGCTATTCGCTGTTTAAACTGAAAAGATGCACACAGGCGTAAATTTATCTGCGCTTGTGTTCCTTATCCCTCAGGCCTGGAGAGTCACTGGTTCTAGTCACACGGCTTTTAGGGTTTAGGGTGGTGTGACAGGTCTGATGATGTTTGAGTCAAGATTTCAGTTACGCTTCCTCTCATTATGAAGCTGGCATAACGAAATTAAAGAATTGTGACTCTCCGAAGTTGTTATTCTCCCCCACCCCCCGTATGGCAGGTTTTGAGGATATTTTGATAAGATAAAAACAAACGGAGAGTCTTGTTTATATGAGATGCTAGCTAGTTAATTTGTCACGGAAAAACTAGTAGTCACCATGAGGACCAGCACCGTCTTATTTAGGAAGGTAAATGGGAAACCACTGCAAAAAGAGCTAGAAGGAATCCCAACTAAGTGAACGAGGACATAGCTGGCTCCTTGTGGATATTATGTACAACGATAAACAATTCTGTGATAAAAATTGAGGAATATATAGAGGTGTGGGTTAATTTGATTTCCATTTTGTGATTATTTTCTGTTTTTTTAGAGGTAAACCAAGATTTCATTTTCAAGATGGAAAGTCCATCAGACTCAGCTGTGGTTTCACCAAGCACTCCACAGGCCAGTGCCAGTCCGCCATCTCCCCATACCAGTAGTTCAAGAAAACAAGTATGAACATCTTAGTTCTTCCAGGGGAGCTATTCTGGACTTCTAAGTATTGTCAGTGGTAGCTTTAAGTCTACTGAAGATTCTTAATTAACATAATGTGTAGGTTAATAAGTAAATATTTTATTAGTAAATAATTTTAGGTGTTTAAGATAAGGGTTTGACCTCCCCCCCCCCCAAATTTTCATCTTGAATCTGTTTTCATTTAGTTTCAGATCAGGTGATTACAACATTCCGAAATGAGGCAGTTTGAATCTGCGATGTTGTGAGGGTCTTTGGTGGCAGGATCTAGGTCTTTTCCTCACTTTGTGACTTGCAGGCCCCTAGAGTAGCAGCAGGCGTGCTAGTAGCTGACCAGATGTTTGTGATTACTGGGATAAGTGTCTCAACACTGTTTTAGGAGAGTGCTGACTTTGCTAAAATAAAAAGAGGATAAAACTTAATGGAGCTTCCAGGAATTAAAGATGTTTTGTGATGCTTACTTTAGATATATGGAGACAGAAAGCCATCTAGTGGTGTCTACCATAGAAATGTAAGGTCTTTATTTCTAGAAGATTTATTTAGACCAAGAATGTTGTTCTTGATTAACATTATTAATGTTTTGTGCCTTTTTCAGCCTATGAGTGCAACACTTAGAGAACGATTAAGGAAAACTAGATCTTCATTTAATTCCTCTTACAGTGTGGTAAAACGTCTCAAAGTAGAGAATGAAGGAGACGATCAGAACTTTTCAGAGAAACCAGCAAGTTCAACAGAAGAAAACTGTGTGGAATTTCGAGAAAATTTTAAACGGGTAGACAGTGAATTTGAAGAAAGTCCATATGGGAAAAATACCTTCAAGAATATCAATGCATGTGAGTCTACATCAGTTGATGCTGGGTCATGCAGTGATGATCTTCAAAATGACTTTGTGAATGAGAATCTTCCCAAAGAAGGATTAAATGAAGAAAAAACAAAATTGGTGAAGCAGATTCAGGAGAAAGAAGACCTTCTTCGGAGGCTAAAACTAGTCAAAATGTACAGATCAAAGGTGAGAATAATTTCAGAACCATTGCATGATTTTTTTTTTTTTAGATAAATGATAGGAAAGTAATTTCAAAAAGAAAAAATAAGTTTATTTTAGCATAATAAGCAATAAGCCAAGTATCCAGAAGCCTGGCTTCCAACAACTTTAACTCAAATATAAGCCATATATTTAGAGTAGAGTAGAAGAGGCCTCTGACACCAGATACAGCCTTTTAAAAGACCTAGCTCTCGTTTAACATGCTCTCTCTAATATTTTCTCTCTAGTTTCCAACCTGTAGCAATATTAGCAATATCAAATGTTAGATGCAAATACAATGAGAGCAGAAGTGACAGCTGATAGAGAATGATTAAAAAAGCTAAAAATGGGCCACAGATTATAATAAAAAGTATTTTTAGTAGTGATCTTGTGTTCCTCCAAATTATTAAAATGTTCCAGGCATTTTGTTTGAGAAAACAACTAATATATATTAGATTTTAGATTTTAACCCAGATAGGTTGAATTAAATAGAACTTGGGAATTGGAAGAAGATAAGCTTTACTTACCTGGATCATTCATGTGTATGCAATTGCTGCTTCTTCCCTAGCAATGTGGTATAAATGATGGAATAGTATATCCTATTTGCTCTCTTGAATGTTTAGGATTTTTCTAAATATAACTACTTGAGTTTTATGAGATAGTGAATGTTGAAAAATATTTTTAATTTGAATATTTCATTTTTTAAAGTACAACTGTAATAGAAAAAGTGGATTTTTTGAATCTATACTGTTGCTTCTCTCCAGTTTTGCCCTATTTAATAATTTGATTTTTCCCTGAGGGTAAGGGTGGCCCAGAGCCTGGACCAAACAAAATAGCCATGGGACTCAATTTGAGTGTCATTGTAACCATTCTACTTAAAACCATCCTACTTTTTCCTGGATAGAGGTCCCATTCATGACCAAGTGTGTTATTCTTTAAACCTACTCATCGACTGATTTAACAACTTTAAGTTAAAGTAGGATGCCTATCTAGTTACTGACATATATGGTTTTTTTTTTTCCTGTTTCAGAATGACCTGTCTCAGTTACAGTCGTTAATAAAGAAGTGGAGAAGCTGTAGCCAGCTGTTGCTTTATGAGTTGCAGTCAGCTATGGCTGACGAGAACAAGAAACTCAGCCTTACTCAGTTGATAGACCACTATGGGTTAGATGATAAGTTGCTACACTATAACAGAAATGAAGAAGAATTTATAGGTGTTTAATTCCTAATTTTTTCTTCAGAATATCTTTGAAAATGACAACTTAAAAGATACTTCTACATTTTAAAGGGAAGATACAAACCATTACGGCTTTGAGAAAGGTATCTCGATGAACATCAATTTAGGGCAATCTGTTATATAAATATAAACTAAATTCTAAAGTGAAAATTTAGTATTTTGGATAAATTTGCCAAAGAAAACTTGACATTTAAAGAAATGTGAAAAAAAATTTGTCATGTTTGAAAAAATAATTGTGACAATTCTGAAAATCAGTTTTAATACATTGTTTTGTTTATTGTGGTAAAAAAGTTTTATTTTAAATGTTAAAAAATAGTCCAGTCTGGTAAATGTCTAAACCTAAAAGCGGTCTAAAAATGCCTGCCTCTCTCCTAAGTTTGTGAACCTTGTTTCCATCCATTTACCACATGTTTCCATCTGGATGGTCTAGCAGGTAATTAAGCTCATATGTCCAAAATTATATTCTTTCCTCTCTCTCCAAATTTGTTTCTCATATTTCTCATCTCATTTAGTGAAATGACCATTTATCTCTTGCAAAACCACATATCCTCATCTCTTACTTTGAGGCATCATGGCATACAAGGTCTTTCACATTCATCTACATTTCTAGCTTCATCTGTGCAGTAGATTAAACTTAGAGTTTCTTCTTTGTTCACAGCGACTTCTCATCCAGAAACCCACCTTCATAGGGTTTTGTTTCTGCCTGCCATATTATACAATGTTACCTGTCATCCTGGCCATATACAGAAATATGACCCAAGTAGGCCCAGTCTCTGGGAATTTGGAATTGTGCTTAGGAAAAAGAAAGCCCGTCTCTTTTTGTGGCTGAAGCTGTTGTATGTAAACTTGGAAGCAGAAAACCTGGTGTACTAAGTAGAGTGTGTGCCCTTACAAAGAAAGGCAGAGATGACAAATAGAGAACTTGGTGGGTCAGCGGCTTCCTGGTTCTAGTTTCCAGTCCTTCTTGAGGGCTTTCTGGATTTCTGCTTTTGGGTCCTTTTATGGGCTAAAACAGCTTTACTTAGTTTAAAAAAAAAATCTTAAAAAAAAAGTACTTGCCTACTAGTAGGTAAGTAGCCACTACCCTGAGCTCCCCTCCTCCAAGTGTGCCCCACTTTCAGCCCAGTCCCTGCCTATGATCTACCAAACTGTTAATATTTGGCATATCAGGAGACCTCAGGACCCTGCTCTTGCATCCATTCTAATTGTTAGTGCCCATACCAGAAAACTCTCACCCTCCCCGCCACCCCACCACACACACACACAAATTCCTGCCTTCTAGACACTGCTATTGTCATTGCTTCTGTGAACACAAGAGGACTGGCCCAGGCCTCACGTGGGCCTCCCTAGGCTCTGGGATTCCTAATTGGGCACTCCTGGGGAGCTGTGCTGTTTTGTACCTATCACCCTCTATCACTGCTTGCTGCTTAGCCAGATGGCTTAAATGTGGCAGGGGAAGCAGTTTCCATGGTGAAGGTGCTGGCATTTGGCTGCAGCTACTCACTGTTGAATAGCACATCCCCTAGAGTCACCTTACATGTCCACTTGGGGGAACAGGGGGACTCTGGTTCTGGGAGAGTTAGGGGGAGCAGATGGGGTCACAGTAATGGGCATTTCCAAGGCATTGGCTGAGTGCTGAGTGCTCCAACAGCACAGTAGGCACTCTTGCAATAGGAGGTGGGTCATGGAATATGGATCAGGCTTATGGGAGAATTTGGGGCCTAGGGATGCCTATGAAGCAGTCAGTCCCGTTTTTTATTGTTTCTGTTGAATTTCACCTCCATTTAATGGGATACGTTTATTAAAAACCACTAAATACTATATTTTTATTCATGAAAATGAAAGCTACCTCTAAGCACTTGCTTTGTGTCAGTTTAAAAAGTATGTTAACTCATTTGAGGATTACAGTTATCAACATCCCAATTTTAAAGATGAGGGAATTTATGATGAAGTTATTTAAAAAAACTAAGTAATTATTTAAAACTGAAGTGGCAGAGCCGGGATTTGAAACCAGGCAACCCAGCAATAGAGTCCTACTCTTAAATCTTGTGCTTAAAGCTGTGCTATGTTTGACCAAATTAATTATATTACTACTTGATAATATAGATAATATTTTAAGGGGCTATAAAAATATGAATATAATTGCTGTTCAGCAGAAGTTGAGAGGAATCAGTACCACGGACAGTATCAAAAGTGGGTTGGGGTGCATGACCCATGTGCCCTTTCAAAGTCAACCCCCAAAATCAATATACCCCCTGTTGAAAAGAGCTGCAAGAGGTTCCTGCTAACCTCCACCTATCCATGCCTCAAAACTGAGGCATTCAAGCAGGGAGCTTTGTCAGAATCACCCAGGGTAGCCACTAAGAAATAGAAATCACACAGGCTATTTGGTTTGTTAAGACCTGGGAATCCACAGAACATTATCCAGTGAAATTGGTGGCATTGACTATTAGCAAATGGAGCCTTCAGGCAGCTAATTTAGGTGACATGGAATTTGTATCACTGGAAGAAAAAAAAAGTCTAGTATATCCATGGTTGGCTCAAACCAATAGGACAGAGAACTTCTGACAATCCTAAGTACAAAGTATTTGTACTCTTCACACTTCTCTACCCTTGGGTCCATCCTCCCACCCCATCAATACCCCTCTCAGAGACAGTTTTGAAAGACCCTAGGAAATGTTACCAATGGGCACTTCCTTGCTGAATCAGCCAAATTGACTACTTCAGGAATCATTCTAGTACTAAGGAGGGAAGTCATAAAAAATGATGTTGGTCCTTTTATTTCTCTTACCATTCACATCTAGCACTGATCAGTATATGGGTGATCAATTATGGTACTATCCTGGCCATTTCTAAATGGAAAATTTTAAATCTAAAGATTTATTTCTAAATAGAAAGTTTTATAATAGCTCTCTTGCTTTACCTACACCAGTGTACATTGGATATGGTGTTGCAGATTATACTTAATATTTAATTCACAAATTGCAGAACACTGAGGCATTGACATCACTTGGAGATTGTGGTCAATGATCCCAATGGTATCAACCTGGAATGTAGCAGTCCACAGGCTATGGAAAGGCAAAGCAGTCTTCTGACCAGTTAATCTTCTCATTATTTAATTATCATCATCTATGTGAATACAGTGATAAACTTTTCATGGAAATGAGAAAACACTTTTTTCTGTTTGCTGAACCCTATTGGCTAGGCCACAAAATTGAGATCTGTTACAGTGAATATGAAGTGTAGAAGATTATGTAGAAGAAAACATGTAATTTACAAATGATTCAGGGCTTGGTAAAAGTAAACAGTTCACCTTGTTCTCATTGCTAGAACAGGGACTAATATTTAAACGTTCTGGTAAACTTTTTTTTGATTATAGAAGAAATGCTTACTGAAGAAAACTTGGGAAATGTAGAAAAGTATATGTCATCCATAATCTCATAACTTTTCTGGTAATTTTATAAAATTAGAAATGCCAGAAGTGGCTAAGAATAATTTCTTTTTGTCTTTAAGACTTTCTATACTATTACCATGAAAATAAAAAATTAAGACTAAATGAATAAAATGAATCTTGAATACTTTCTGAGTTAAAATTTTGTTCATTCTTAAACAAAAACAACAATTCATGATATTTGACACACATTTATTCATGCAGGACAAACATTTTTATAATGATTAAGGCTAAAATGAAATAATTTGCTATTAAAAATATGTAACTAAGAAGAGGCTCTACTTAAATTCCCTGATATGAAAGAAAAAGAAATCATTTAAATCAAATTAATTTATTTTTTAAATGATCGACTTGGCCTTGTGTTTTCCACCAGCGTTTTTACATTTGAACAAGAGCAGGAAATGCTTTCATCCTTAATCTTTCAACTTCAGCCTGCAGTATTGAAATCTGTTCAGCTTGTTCTTTTGAAATTTTTGTTAACTTTTGTTGTTGCATCATGTTTTCATATCGTTCTTTGGCAATCTTTTCACAAGTCAGTTTAGACCCTATTCCAAAAATGAAGAAGAAAGGATTTAGTAGATTATTATCAATACTTTCAAATATAGAAACAACACTTGGAATCAATTAAACGTGGAAGAAATGCTGGTAGCTTTATAACTACTGTACAGATTTCAGGAGTACTGATTACTTTTAAAGAAACCTACCATTGAGTAAAGAAAAAAAATGCTTACCGATTGCATTACAGATGTCTTGTCTCTCTGAGACAGCCACCAACTCTTCTCGTAAATTGCAGCTTAGAGTATAATTTGCTACATCTTTTTGATTGCTGAACTTTCCCAGTTTTTTTAGTAGTTTTTTGCAGTTTTCCACATTCTTTTTGTGGGTCTGAAATTTTGGTTTCCATGACACCCCACAAAAATAATTTTGAAAAAATACATTATATTTTATAAAGAAATTATTCTTAAAATTTAAATTCATCATCATTAATCACCATTTCCTAGTGCCAAGCATGATGCCTGCACATAGTAGGTACCTAGATTATTTGTTGGAAGATAGAATGGTAGGTTAATAGCACATTTTAGAAAAAATCTTGTATATTCTTAAAAATGAGAGATTAAAAACCACATAGCCTTGAGATTACATTGTTTCTATCTTATATATGCTACACAATCAAAACTGAGCATTTGTTAAGCATTTCTGAAAAAACAAAGCCTTTACAATGCCAAGGAAAGACGATCAACACTTCTCTTACATAAATCATAACCTAACGTGAAATAGGAAATTCACATACACTCAGATATCTCCCAAGGGGTTAATTCTAATATTAAAAGAAGGGCTTCAGTCTACCACGCTTGTTATGGTTGCGAAGACACTATTCAGAGATCTCTACATCCTGAATATTTGTAAATGACCAAGATTTTGTTAGGTTCTGTTTGAATTCATGATTTGGAACACTGTTACTTTGTTCGAATGATTCACAACTGTTGGGATTATAATGATCACTATTTTTTGAGACCTACCTTATCTAAAACAGCAATGGTTTGCTCCATTATTCCAATCTGAATGGCAATCAGAGTCTCATAGTGTGGTTCATTTAGGTACTTTGAGAGAGAGAAAAAAACAATATATATAAGGATATTTTTCTCTGTTTATTTCAATAGATAACTTTATAAAGATTATCTTAGTTTTGAAAGTTACTGTTTTCATAAAAATTGTCCAAGTTTAGGCTTATTTGACTTTTGTGCCATAATAATGTA